GGGGGGGGGGGGGTATGGGGGATAAATTAATATTGTCTTTTACCTACAAATAGTTCAAATAAAAACTTATAAATTATTACGAAACTAAAAAAAAAAAAGTTTAGAAGTTGTGTATACTTAAATATTACCTGTATATAAATATTTACCCGTTAACGATAAGCATGATTTCAAAATAAATGGTCTGATTCATTTTAATACTTATTTATTAATAAACATTGGGTGCCTTGCCACACACTGTACCTAATTATGAATAGATTATAGATGGTAAGTTAAGTAATCCGATAATGGGAAACAGTGACGTAGCTAGGATTTTCTGAAGGGGGGTGTTAATTATAATTATTAAATATTATATATAATACGTACGAACTAAAACTTTTATTTTAATTAATTAATATATATACATAATGTCTGTAATAGAGATATAATGTATATTCGAATTCGGATGCTTTACCATAAATTATTCAAATATTTGACTATTCGAATATCAGTATTCGATGCTACAATACCTATTATTATTAAACGTTTTGTTGTGCACGAAAACGTAAACGAATAATTTTCGTCAAGTATTGTCGCAATCGCGATAATGTTAACCTGTATATATGTAATTAGTATTGTGCATTATTTTATATTTCATATTGTATTATCGATTTACCTATATTCCTATAATAATGTAATATATGATACGACTCAAGGGGGGTGTCATATCTACCAAACACCCCCCTTGTATACGCCACTGATGGGAAAAACCACCATTCCATAAACATAATATAATAATAAAAATGTAACTTCAAGATTTACATTTCGTAGAACGAATAATAGCCATAGATAGTAGGTACTAAGAACGCGCGCCGACACAAAGTATCTACATTGATTATTGCGATTACGTATAAACAGTAAACACTACACAGTAGGTATACACACCGTGTCATTCTCTCATAATCACAGTGTCAGTTACATTTTTATAAGCTAAAAGCAAAATGGAGCAAAAAAAAAAGAAAATTACCAGCAACTAGCAGTACTTTATTGAATTTTTTTAAAAAGAAGCCTGGGCCTGACGTAAGTATTACAATTTAAAATACTAAATATTATTAGACCCGGAATTAAATGTTTAAATATTATGTATGACGTATTCAACTTATGATAATTAGCATTACAACTCGCGCTAAAAATATGGAAAATTAAATTAACACCAGTTAAAAAAAGTACCTATTAAAAATATAATTGCAGTCACTGCAGTTTATTCAATAACTATTAGTTATGTCATATTAATTATTATAAAACATTTAAATGAGTTTATTAAAAAAAAAAATAGAATTTAAAAATATATGATAATATTATAATAATAATTAATAATACCTACCTAATATTTAAAAACAATTTAATTCGATTTTACCTATACATTTTCTTGTTTATTATTTAAGGAAAACATAGAGAAATCTGATGATGTATCACGTGAAAAATATCATGTTTAAAATATAAATTTGATTCAAGCTGTCCAAGAAACAAATAAGATACAGTACCTATTGTTCTATCGTTCTATGGTATTATACCTGTAGCTTGACTCCTGCCTGCTAACATTGCATTAAAATTAATAAATTAGATTGTGCTTCGTAATTTTTTAGAGGGAACATTTTGATGCTAGTAAAAACGACATTGCTTTGTTTATTAAACGTGATTTATTATCAGACGAAGAAAAAAATACTGTAAGCTTTTCGAATGCTAATGACTTATGTCAGATTTAGTCTGAACTATAGTTAAAACCTACCAATATATCATAATATAGTATAAACTACAATATAATTGTTTTTATTATTTTTTGTTTAAAACCTGTAGGTACTTACCAATTTATGGTTACCAAATCATAATTATGTATTTCCATTAAATGAAAAAAACAAAAAAAGAGGTTTAAAATTTCAGTATAAATGGCTGAACGAATTAAATTGGCTTGTTTATTTGGAAGTTGAAGGTGGAGCTTTTTGTAAGCATTGTGTTGTTTTTGCAAAAACCGGTGGAATAGGAAATCAATCTTTAAAATATTTGGTTAGTGAAGTATTTGATAGTTGGAAAAAAGCTAAAGAGGTATTATTTAATATATTAATGTTTTAACTTTTAATCGCTTATAATTTAATATTATTTTAATTTTAATTTTATTTCCCTGTGAATACATGTTATTCTATTGTTATAATTTTAATTAAATGATAGGTATTTCGAAATCATTCTACATTAGAGTACCACACATTTTCTGTTTTGAAATCTGATGAATTTTTAAAAATATATTTAAAAAAAGTGCCAACTATAGTAGAACGATTGGATAAAAATAGGTATTTAATCATTTATTAGCTTAAGTCTGCAAGTATGTACTTACTTTGATATTTTTTTTTGTTAAAAAATTAAACAAATCAAGGTGAATAGAGAGCGACTCATTCCAATCGTTGATTGTGTCATACTTTGTGGTCGTCAAGAAATTGCTCTACGAGGGCATAAAGATTATGGAAAAATTGATAGTATGTTTAAAATTAAATAATTTTATAGCATTACATATTATATAATAATGCTACTCAACCTTAATATAAATTTTTCATATTATAGTGAAATGTTCATTAAATCAAGGCAACTTTAGAGCCATATTAAAGTATAGAGCATATGGTGATGAGATGTTAAAGCATATCATTACAAGTAAAGGACGAAACAAATACCTAACTCCTCAAATCCAAAATGAAATCATAACGGCATGTGGGGACATTATGCTGCAAAAAATAGTTAAGAATGTAAATGCTTCAAAATGTTTCTCAGTTTTAGTTGACGAGATTACTGATATTTCTACTATTGAACAAATGGCTATGTGTGTTTGATATGTTGACGATAACGATTGTATCCATAAGAGATTCCTGAAATTTATTACTATTAATAGCTTAACTGGTTGTGATTTAGCTGAATCAATACTCAACGGTAAATTAAAATGATATTATGTTTTTAATAAAGTAATAATTGTATGGTTATTATATTTTGTAAATAGGTCTGAATAGTTGTGAAATTAATTTAGATTACTTATATGGTCAAGGATATGATGGTGCAAGCAACATGTCTGGCCAATATAAAGGTGTTTAGGCAATTATAAAAAAAAAAATATCCTAAAGCTATATATGTGCACTGTGCAGCACACTCTCTGAACTTAGCAGTATCAACTGCAAGTGGAATTCAACCAATTAGAAACTGCTTAGATATTATCGAAAAGTACTATGTTTTCTTTAATACACCAAAACGCCAAAATGTTCTTTTAACCAACATTGAAAATAGTAATGAGGATCCTAAGGTTACAACTAAAAAGATTATGTGCTACACGATAGGTGCAGCGTTATGATACGGTAACAGATTTCATTGAACTATTTGCATTTGTAGTTGAATCATTAGAAAATATTTCTAATTGGAATGATTCCACAGCAACGGAAGCTAATATACTATTAAAAGCTATTGATTCAGAATTTCTTATATCCTTACAAGTTATACAAGTAAATAGTAATTAATAAATATAATTTATTTTATTTTATAATAAAATATTTTTTCAGTTGGTTTTTTCTTTTGATTTACCATTGTGTAAGTTGCTACAAAAAGAACAAATTGATTTGAGAGAAGCAGTAAGCCTTGCTGAAGATATTATAAATGTATTAAAAAATATCAAATTAAATTGTGTTACTGAATTCCACAAATTATTTTTGCTTGCAAAAGTAAGTATACTAAAATAAAGTATATTATTATATGAATTATATGAAAAAAATTATGTTTATATTTAACATTTGTAATAAGAGAGGTCAGTAATTATAGATATAGACTTGAATACTAAAAGAATATCTAAACGATAAGTAAATTGAGCAAATCCAGATCCCAATTTAAGTGTTGAAGAATACCACAAAGTGTCAGTATTTATACCCTACCTGGACTTTTTTATACAACAACTAGGAGAAAGATTTTCAATCCGTTCTGAAATTTTTAAAGGTACCTATATTAAATTAAATCATTATTATCATTTTTAATTAAATTGGTACCTAGTTTTTATAAAATTAAAAACAAATCACTGAAATAAAATATTCATATAATCAATCTATATTATTAAATTCAACCTTTAATGGTTTATGTATAATGTATATATGTCATATTTTATAGGATTTCAAAGTCTATTTTCCTATACATTAACTTCTAATGAGGAGGTATCATTTAGAAAATTACTTGAATTTTATTCACCTTCTTTGGATGTGAACAACTTAATTGCAGAATTGAAATTGTGAAAGATAAAACTTGAGCGAATAAACAATATTCCGAAAACTGCAATTGAAGCATTACATGTGTGTAATGCCAATATTTACCCAAATGTGCATTTTATTTTAAAAATACTATGCACACTTCCTGTTTCTACAAGTACGCCTGAAAGAATGTGTTCCAGTCTTTAAAAGGATAAAAACATATCTTCGAAACAGTATGTCTGAGGTTAGTAATTATAATAGCTGTGCACTTGTGCTTAATAAAATACATTTCCATAATATCTAATGAGAAAAATATTTTAATTTTTTTTGTAGAAAAGACTTAATGGTCTGGCAATGTTGGCAATTCATAATGATATTACATTTTCAAATGAAGAGGTCATTGATGAACTTGCCAAAAAGCCTAGGAATCTGGACATCATATTGTAAAATATTAAAACATTTTAAAACATATTTGTAAATGTATAATGTTATGTAATATAGAAAGATTATATTTACATGTGTTGAGTTATTAAATTATACAAAATATAGATAAGGGGTGTGTGGGCCGGGGGGCAAAGGCCCCCCACAAGTTTACCATACAAATTAATTTTGATCTCCTCCCCCATCAAATATTCTCAGTTACGCCACTGAATACGTATAAAGTACTTATATTTTTAACAAGATTATATCTTGAAAACTTAATTGTCCGTGATATAATGAAAAAAATTAAATTCAAAAAAATAAATTTTATTTCCTACCCGTCAAAACGTAAATTTTAATATATTTGCTGGCTACATTGAGTAATTACTCTATGACCAGCTGGCATGCTTGTAACCATTACGAATCACACTCTCGTTGGATACAAAAATAGGTACAACACTTCCTTGCATTGAATACGGATATTGATAGTTTACAACCATCTGAATTCGAGAATTCGATACAAAATAATAATATCGTTTATCAAATCAGACTTGGATAATAATATAATTATTTTCCGTGACCACAATCAAAATAATGTATGCGTGAGTATAGAATTTAGTGAAGTTATTAGTTACTTAATTAACTACTACGTAGCCATGGTTTATGGTCAATAAAGAAATCATTTTTCGGTTCAAAAATATTAGATACATCCATTTTATTGTTCAGTGATTCACGGTAAAAATTGGTTTGTTCGTTGGTGTTTGATATATTGTATCTTATAAAACATATTTTCATCAACGATCTACAATCTTAGTCGTACAAAAGACTGCTGTCAAGTACAGATTACAGTTGAAAGGTATTATTTAATTAATTTCATTGTTTTCTAATTAAAATATATTTTTTTAAATTGTTTTAATGATAACTATTGCTAAAGCGTATAGTTGTGCTTGATGTTGTTTTAAAACTAGATATTTTACTTCACGTATGAAGTAATTTTATTAGACCTGTTGGTTTTACTCTAAGATTTGTTTAATTTATTCAATAGAAAAGTTTTGCCTCCAGAGTCGTTTTGTATTCATCCATCTACTGTTAAATGAAATTACACAGAATTTAATTTATAAATAATTATATTAAGGTTATAAATATTTTTTTGCGAGACTATAATTATATAATTAAATCAATTATAAGTAACTAGTAATTATTTTTAAAACAAAATTTTTGTCCCTCAAATTTTGGCCTTACCTATCTCCCAAATTGATGGTTAATAAATAGTAATTACATAATTTAACTATAGATCCCCTGTATTAATTTATGTTACTTATAAAAAAATTGTATTTTCAGAAATATTAATTTTTTCAATTAATAACAACTATGGAAGCTAGTCTTAAACCAGTTGTAAGTATTAAATGTTGTATAATTTAAAATATTTGAAATTCGATGTAATTATTAATAACATTAATCATACATACAACAATTATTGAATCTTACTAAAAATGTGTATTATATATTTATAAATATATGTCTAAGTTTATAAAACACAATTTATTGTACTGTTGTATATTTTTTTTTAAGATATGTTTCATTTTATTGAATTAATCTTATTTTTAGAAAATATTTAGAATTATTTTTTTAAACGATTTTACTTTAGGAAATATTTAATTTGGTACGATCAATTGTCCAAAATGTAAATATTAACAATTTTGATGAAATGGCACGTACAATTATTTCCATACCGCTGAAAACAATTTATATATTTGAAAACATAGTGGATATAATTTATTTTCGGGTATATAAATATTATTAATAATTATAATAGTTATTAAATTTGTTGTTTTACTTATCTAGGCTTTAAATAGACCCGATTTTACAGTTTTATATGCAAAGTTATGTGCATACATGGCCAATCATGTTGCATTTAACAAACTTCACAATTCTAAAACTACTTTTCAGAAAGTTTTAGCACAAAAAATCTTTGATATGTTTACCTCATATTATACTCGTACTCCTCAGAATGAAGTACATAAATTAAAAAAAAATTTTATGAACAGTAATATGGTAACTAGTTATAATTTATTAATATAATAAAAGTATTTTTGTGATTATATTAGATTTTATAATATAATCTATAATTATTAGTCTTAAGTCATTTCAAGCTTAAGATAAATCTCAGTACTGATGCTTGCATAGTTAATTTTTATTTATAAATAAACTGATTTGTATCATTTTAAATCAAGACTTATTCATACATAATATGATTTAGGTACCCTAATTTATATTATATAATTAACAATAATAGCTAATAATTAAACTGACTTGAGTAGAACTACTCAATCAAACTAATAAAACCATTAACCATTCTTATTTGCTTTTGACTAAAACCAAATTATATTCAAATAAATTTTCCACCGATTGATAACATATGTTTTTTAATTTAATTATCAAATAATATAAATATTTTATATATGTTATAGACCCCATCTTTTTTCAAGAATATATTGAATAGTTTTCATTTCCAATATTATAAAAGGTCTTTAGCCCATTGCAAGTATGTTTTCAAGTAAAATTAATTAATAATTTGTATATATTGTACGAAATAATATTTTTATAGATTTATCGGTGAATTATTCAAACAAGGGGCTTTTACCGAAAAAAATATACTGTCGTTCATTCACGAATTGATGAAAGTAAAAGATATTCTGAATATTCATTGCTTATGTATAATATTACAAATAGCAGGACAAAAATTATCAAAAGTAATAACCAAAATAGTAAAGTATTAGGAAATTATAGAATAAATAATTTCTTATTTCATTTTTTTTAGACTCATAATTTGGACGGTATAGTACATCATATTTTATTATTTAAAAATGAAAACACTGTCCTCATAAAAATGTCACCAACTCTTCAGTCTTTGATATTCAAAATACAAAACTTGCATTTAAAATGTTGGATACATGAAGGTAATAATGTCAATTTTCAAATTATACTGTATAAATACTATTGTTCATTAGAAAAAATGTACTATTAAGTTACTACATTTATTTTAACAAATTTTTTTAAAATTTAGTTAGGTTTTATAATATGTTATGTATAATTATAATTTTTTTTTTTTTTTGTTATAATATATTCAACAGTTTGAATTTTAAAATTTCAAGTTATGCATTTTATTTATGTTTAGCATTTATACAAAGTTGTAACATTACTTTCAAATTGTATATTAGAAAGTAGGATAAAATTATTTTGTAATTTTGTATTAGTATAAATTTTTATGCAGTAATAAACAATTGCTTTTAAAAATTTTTCTTAACAATGATCAGTTTGCAATAATGATTCCTTCAAATTTTCATAACGAAGACATCAAAATCGTATTTTATTAAATTAAATAAATAATATACAAGAATGGTACATGATATCTTCTGAACAGTTTTAATTTAATATATTAACTATTAACTATTTTAATAACTATTTTTTTACAGAACCTCTTAAGTTAATTGAGGACAATGAACAATATATTTCCTTTGAAAATTTGCCGGAGCAATTAAAAAAACTATATGATCTTAAATCATATACAGTAATGGCCCAATGTATTATTGATGAATGTATGGCTGTTCTTAACGGTTTTAACAAGATAAATATTAATGTATGTAGTAGGTTTATTTATTTTATTATCAGTATTTTAAATATAAAAAAAAATAAAATAAGATGAAGAATATATTTTTATTATTGTATTACTATTAGATTGTTATTATGAAGAAGAATAATAAATAATTATTCCACATTTTTTATAACCCATCAAACAAATCCACTAAAACATCCTAGATATCGATCATCAGAAACTTGAAATTTGAAATATCTATTTCTTACTAATATTAAACTTTTTTTTTACACAAATATCTTAAAACATATAATTATTTAACCATCAAAGTTTATATTATTATACATTATAATACCAATAACTTTTTGATTACACCTTATGTTTATTTATTTAAAAATATTTACAGGAAATAGTACATTCGTTAAAATATATCAACTCGTGGCTACATTACGATCAAGTGTCATTCGTTGCTTCTATGATACTTATAACACTAAACGAAGACCAAAGTATTCGCCATAAGGCTGGTATACTTTTAAACTTATTTATTAAGAAAGGCTTGTTATTAATTGATTCGGTTTTATCGGGGTAAATATAATTATATAAATTTTCTGTATTGTACATTTTATTAATTATTATTTTCTTTTTATTTCATATATTAGAATTGACAAAATAATGGATGACTCAGAATTGAAAATAGAACTTCCAAGATTATCAGATTTATTATTTGACATCACTAGTAGGATTACATATCTGAATTAATTTTGTATAACTTAATTTATACTGTTTTGTATTGTATATTCTAATTGCTTTTTACTTGAATTTAATATTTTTAAATCGAGGTTTTGTCTAAAATTTTTTTTTGAGTTATAATACAACTTTCGTTGGTCTAAATGTGAAATAAATTATTGATAAACAATCCATATTTTAGTCGTTACTAATCTTTAATTTCGCATTTTTTGAATACTTTTGGCATAATCAAAAATATTCAAGTGCTTACATAAACAATAAATTGAATTATTAATTTTTTTTTTTTTTTTTAAGATTTCGCATGTCTCGGTTTTTATCATTTTTGTTGCTTGTATCTCATAGGCATTCTTGCCTGCGATAAATTTCTATAAACTTAATCACAACAGTCAATCAAACATGATTCAATTTGCCATAATTTTTATTTTATTAGTTAACTACTCAATCTAAAAAGTAAAAAAATAAAAGCAAAAGTTTAAATTAAGATATATATATAAAAAACCACAAAATAAGAATATATCATAATAATCGACATGAACGGATTCATACAAGTTTCGAATGTTTGATAAAAATAAACGCCCAAGAGATATGAAAAACTATGTACATTTGTTGATACTTTAAGAAGCCAATTATCGTACTAAATAATCTCGACACGTGTGAACAAAAAAAGCAGAGCTTATCGCTTTCAAAAGTCACCATGCATTCTCGAAAACCGCGTGAGTTATTATCATGGTGTAAATAATCATGATATGACTCTCGAACAAAAAATCTTGTATTCGATAATCGCATGGAAGATGCTCGAATGGTAGGTACGAGAAATGAGAAACTCTTTCCGTGTAAATCCGTTTAGACTTATTAAAGTATTAACATTTTTAAAATATTAATAATAGTACACCAGATAAGAATAGTAATAATTTTATAATCGACTAATTTACTTTATAAACTGATATACCTACCTACATATTGTAAAATTATAAAAACCTATTTGATAATAGAAACGAAATCGATATTCGGGAGGTCGGTCGTCGGGTGGAAGAATAATAACATATATCAACTGAAATTATAATATATTTTTTTTTTTAATACAAAACTAAATGAAATCTTGGAGTACTGAAAAATCAAATGTGCTCTACTCTGTGCTTGGAAATAATATATGATAGATTTTATTCAACCATAATTACCTTGACTTATATCTCTTCTAGTTTTTCTTTATCCACGAATAGATCAACTATAGAGATATAATACTAGTTAACAAGCTTTTCTTCTTATAATTCTAAGACAATTGTATAATTATATAAATTAAATTCTAATTCATTTATGTATACATTTTTATTAATAATATAAATTAAGTTAATTACAATTCATTTAAATTTAAAAAAATAATATAAGTATTTATGCTTTTCATTGCGACATTAAACTTTTTGTAATTATTATAAAGATGAATTATCACAAAAACAAATCAATTAGGTAAATAATAAATCCTTATCTAAATATATTCTAAATGTATAATTCAATTTAAATAGTAAACAGTATGTCCGAGGTTAGTAATTATAATAGCTGTGCACTTGTGCTTAATAAAATACATTACATGTGTTGAGTTATTAAATTATACAAAATATAGATAAGGGGTGTGTGGGCCGTGGGGGCAAAGGCCCCCCACAAGTTTACCCTACAAATTTATTTTGATCCCCCCCCCCCATCAAACATTCTCAGTTACGCCACTGGTCTAATCATCAACCGATATGCATAATAATCCTTCAAACATTCTTGTTTGTTTTGGCACCTGTTGTGGGATCTTGTTTAATATTTATGCAATACCCGTCATTTAATACCAAAAATAAAATTAATAGTGTTTAAATAGTTTTTAATAGTTTTTTAATAGTTTCACTTAATAATTCATTTTCAATTGCGCAGTTATCGACTGGGTCAACAATTATTAAATTAGACTACGATGATTAAACAATAGCACTTTTCCAAAAATTTTTCGTAAAAATCTCCTCCTGGCAATTACGAAAAATTAAAAAAAATTTGAGCCAAATCGGCCTAGCGTTCTCAATTGATGAAATGTTATACATTTTTGGCTCCAAGTTTACTTTTTTTGTTAATATTTCGTTATATTATGGATAGGACAACTACATTGAATAAAATGAAGAATAATAAATGATTGGTTCATATTACGGTTAACAAGGGTGGTTTGACTCCGAAGCGGATAAATACCCAAGAAGTCTCAATGATTTGTGTGGTAGTTTATGATAGTACGTGAATGCCTGCATTGAACGTGTACTTAACTAAACGTCAATCAGTACATGAGTATGAAGGGGAAATATCACAAATCAAATTTATTTTTCCATCTGAATTTTCTTTTTGAAACGTTTCAGATTGTATATTAATTGAAAATTCTATAATCAATATGCGAAAATTTAAAAAAAATTCCCACTCTATACATATACACATGTGTATACACACTGCAGTGGCCTCGCGAACTAGGATTTTCAGAAGCAGTTGCTTCTGGAATTTAGAGTGGATGGGCGGTGGAATGTGACTTGATCACTTATTGGTAAATGGTTAAATATATTTGAAGACAGCAGTCAAATTTGACTAACCTAACAATTTCAGGTGTAGAGTGAACGCTAACACTGAATCGATTGGTGTGGTGGGGTGGGTCATTAATAAATTGTTCGTTTTTATATTCTTTATAGTTCGCTACGCCACTGCAAATACATATCGGTTATCACAGAAATTTCATCGATTTATTTAAACATGATGCTAAATAAAACTATATTTAATTACACTGTTTTAAATTAGTTAGTCATTAAACTTTAGTAATAAATGAATTTACATATCAACACACATAATAAATTGCACTTGCAAATAATGTTATCTCAAAACCACGGAAGTTGGTTACAAAGTTATTATTGATTTACAAATTTATATTTAAGTGGATAGAATAAATAAACCTTCTTTTTGTATCGTGTACGTGCGAATTTTAGTTTTTACTACATTTTAATTCGAACATCCTTAATAGGTGGTAATTTTATTTATTTTATTCTTGGCATAAACATTAGACATCAAATAGCTCCTGGAATTTCATTTTGAATAGTTCACAATAGCTCCACAAATTTTAGAAGACATTACACTACATCCATCTGTTGATACACCTACACAATTTTTCAAAACTAATCCAAGCCTTGTCATGATTTTTAAGACTGTTTTACCAAGAACTTCACCACTTAATTTGGACTCAATATTAACTAACCAGGCCCGTTCGTAATATTTATTATTTGTTTTTATCAGTGATCTATCATTATGAATATTATATAGACTAGGAGTAAAGTATAGGGCAGCGTTTCTTAAATTGTGTTCCGCGGAACCCTGGGATTCCGCGAAGATCACTTCAGGGTTCTGCGAAGCTAATTTTTTATAAAAATTTTAAGAAAATTACTTTAAAATTTCCAATTTAAGATTAGTAATGTTGAAAAACTGTTTGCATTATAAAAAAAAAAATCTTTGTATATTAAATAACATGTATAAGCGATATGGAATAGTCTACATTTATATTTAGTCTAATTAAAGTAATTATTATTAAAGTATTATTATTATATATGTAGATATTTTTTATTATTTTAATTTAATTTTAAAACATTTTTTGAATTAAATACCTTTAACACAATATTATTATATAATTATAATTTATTTACAAATAATCCTAAAAAAAGCTAAAAAAAAAAAGTAGTAGTTCCACGATAAACGTGGACATCAAAAAGGGTTCCACAGATAAAAAAGTTTAAGAAACGTTGGTATTGGGTAAAGTATAGTTTTCAACCACAGCTGTTTCTATCGAACTGTTTAACTATATCAGTTTATTCGTATCGTATCGTGCTGTCGTATTTGTTAAATTTATTAACGTGTATATAAATGCTAATACAAATTCATATTTTGAATGACATTTTTTTCTTTTCTAAAAATTGGCCCTCTAGTAACTTTGAGTTGTCCTTCCCTGATATAGACTAATAATATTTACATATTATTATAATTTGTGACAAACCTACTTCATCAGCTTGGTAACATTTCCTTATCCAACGCCAATAAATTACATTAATATTAATGCTCTTATATTATATTTAAGTAGTTTTATTTTTGACTGGCCAAGACAAAAAAAAAAACACTACGATCCCATCCAGTGACGCACGCAAGAGGGGGGGGGGGTTAAGGGTTGTATACTCCCCCGAAATTTTCTCCGATGTCTAGGTTAAAATTTACAAATTTTACAAGTTTGAAATATGAAGAGCTAGTATTGAATACCTAGTATCATTGATTATAGAATAGTCTATACTATTATCAATGCTATTATTTAAGTCAAAATATATTAAGGATTTACATAATTTTGTTAATTGTAAAATGTATTATATTTTTACCTTGACGTATTGCATTTTATACCTTATATTCCTATGTATAAATTATAAATATACGTTGTGCAACTTTTTATTTTATTTTTTTATCCAAAATAGTTTTAGGCTTTATGAAAATCAAAGCAGAAAACGTAGCAAAATACTCCGGGTGAAAAACACTACCCCGATAAGGCTTTATAAGGTTGGACCATGGTAATGAAAATAGATAGCCGCTGAACGTAAGCGAACACGGTAATGAAGCAAAGAGAAAAAAGTCGCATTGTACATCGTACGTAGACACGGTCACATAGAGGGGCGTGTTCGATCGAAATACGTTGAATATTATTTCACACACTTTCAAATGCACGTATGGTGGCTGAGGAAGAGGAGTGGGGTTTTTTTTCTCCCCTGACGTCATTGCATGCGCGTCGTATGAAGTGTCGTCTGCACGTCTGTGTACGGTGTGCGCATAATGTCTTACGCGTGCCCGTACGACTGCACGTCTTTTGATGTACGATCAGCATCACGACGAACGCGATGTGTTGAGCAGCCTTTTCCGCGGTCGAGAAGTCAACGTTGCGACGATGGCCACGCCGTACACCCAGCGATATTATAATGTTACGGTCCGTGTGCTGGTTGCGCGCGCGTCCGGTGGTGGTGGGTACGGGTGAAGGGGTTCGCTAAAAGTTTTCCTTGTTTTCCGGCGGCGCGGGGGCGGTGGGTGTGGACGACTTTGCGCGAGACCCTTCGGCGGTGACGGCGTCGGGACGCGGGCGGGTGATTCGTTCCCTGTACTGCCGTGTAGTCAGTGTCCGCCGCCGCCGAGAGACCTGCGATCGATTGTCTAGCGGACACGGTCGTCGGGCACAAGCGCACGGCACCGCACCCGCGTTCGACAACGAGAGGGCGCGTGCGCGCCGTACATACACACGCGCCCGTAGACGCGGAAGCGTTCGCACACACACACGCGCGCGCGCCAAAGCTCACAGCAGTGCCTTCTCGTCGTCGAACCTGCCGCCGCCGCCGCCGCCGTCATCCCGTCGCCGCAGCCGTCGGCCGAAACGCATCCACGTCCCGGGACGGTACAAACGCGCTACGCTACAACGGGCACGACTACGTGGTGCCGCTGCGACGGCCAGTACCAAGGTGTACCGCATCCATCACCGGTAGAACGATATAAGAGCGTCCGAGGCAACAAATAACCGTCTCGCTCCACAGCAGCACACCACACCTTGCTGGCGCGCGCGACCTGCACTGCCCGTCACCAGTACGCGTTTAGTACACACGCACCGCGGCGTACAGCAGAAGCCGTATCGTCCAACGTTCCCATCGTTTTCTCGACAAAATGTAAGTATATCGGTCGTCGTTCGCGTACACCAATTTTGCGCGAGTCCGCCAACGCCGTGGCCGTTTTCCCGAAATCCTACCGCTGCGTGTACAAAGGCCGCTCGTTCGACCACGGGTGATTTTTTTTGTCTCCTCGCGCAACCCGCGCCAATCGCAAACACTTCGAATGTTCGACGTCCCAAATCTCATCACAGGACCGGGTCAACAACCACCGCTTTCGGGGTGATTCGCCGTGCCCTACACTATCCTCCGCCCCGCCCCCCGCACGCGGCTCTTATACGAGTAGTTGCAGTGAGTCGTTTGCCGTAACTACGTGCGTACCACGAGAGTGCTGACTGGCTTCGTGATCATTTCTCGCGCACCACTTTCCGTCGGTTACGTCGGTTACGTCACACGTATTAACCCGCGTAGGCGGCACCGCGCTGTGCTCGCCATCGATTTCTCACCGTGACTCGCGTTCAGGTCGATCGAGTTTTTGTCGACGTACACGATCGTGCGCGCGTCGGCTGGACTTGAAAGTCGAACATAAATTGTTGACGCGGCCAACGGATAACAATGTAGGTAAAATATACGCGGGCATGTTGTAGCGCGGTAACGAACGCCTACCGGAATTGCATTTAGCTGAGAAATTTTATCGTATTTGTAAAATATAATTATGGCGTAATAACGACTAGTAGTGTAAGTGTGCATAAGATATAGCCAGATAAAATGATGTAAATTTTTTACAACGGTCCTGAGGAAACGACGTTTTTGCACCCTTTCATTACGCGAGCTTCCGAAAAAAAGTTCTTTCCTCAATATAGTTTCCAACCACAGTGTATTTACTTACTGCTACGTTACATCTTATGCAATGCACTTAAATGTTTCGCCTTAAAAATGCCATATACATTTGAGATGGAGACTCAGGAATGAATAATAATGTCTTATAGGGAACCCGTTGTTACGGTTTAATAATTATTATACTAATGACTTTTGTATGGAAATTTACAAGGTTCAATGATTTGATTCATCGTTCAGCATGCGTTTCAAATATTGATTTTACAATTAATGGGCATTTATCAACTAAATTTGATTGTAACATATTATTCTTAAATATTGCCTTTTAAATTATAGAAATAGAAATAAGATATTTGTACCTCACTAAAAAGTGAGGTAACAGTCAGTTTTAATCAAAATTTTAATACTTGAACAAGCCATTTTCAATAGTTGAATAATATAATAAATAAATATGAGACCGATTCACATTGAAAACGTGAAGTGCATTTAGATATTCTTCTCTGATCAATTTAAAAACCGCTCGAAGTGTTAAGTCGGTCAAACAAGATAACATATATATATATATATAAAAGCAAAGCTAAACCCAAAATTTCGACGACTATTGTTAATCTTCAGTTGTATATCATAATAAGAGCGAATACACGACAATATACGTATACATGTATTTACAAGTAAAAAAATACGATGTAAATCGATGCGTAAACTTTTTTACATTCCCATTTAGGAAATTTTTTTTTACAAACGGACTTTTTACACCTTCGTTTCTACATTATTAGTATACTATGGGTAATTGATAGATGCGTTGTGTGTGTGTGATACAGGGCTGATGGTGCTGGGCTTACCGCAGGAGATGACACAGTGGTTGGAGGTCCAAAAACGCCACAGCAGATCGCGGCGCAAAAGCGACTGCAGCAAACTCAAGCACAAGTCGATGAGGTTAATACACGAAGAGATAAAAACAGAAAGACATTTTACATATTTTTTCAATACCTGATGTATTATTTTAGGTAGTGGATATTATGAAGACAAACGTGATGAAGGTGCTGGACAGGGATCAAAAACTCTCTGAACTAGATGATAGAGCAGGTTAAAATAATTTTTATATTTACAACTGTACAATAATTAGTGGCTTGTAATTAATTAATTTATACCTATTTATTTTGTATAGATGCTTTACAACAAGGAGCTTCGCAATTTGAACAGCAGGCTGGAAAACTGAAGAGGAAGTTTTGGCTACAAAATTTAAAGGTATGCAATGCTGTTGAATACTTACTGCTGAGAACCATAATAAAATATGAAACTTCAAATCCGTCCAAAGAGTTTTAATCAATAACTCAAGAACGTGAATTCCCCCTTTAGTTTAAGATGATAAAAACTAAATGTAATATAAAGTGCAAACAAAATTGACACTTCTTGATAAAACATTAAACAATCATAAATACTTTTTACTTAGATTTACTGGTAAAAAAATTTATTTTAAAAAAAAAACTATAATTTTAATGATTATGATTTTTATTTGATTATAATATTATACATTACTTATTTTTTATGCTTGTAAATATTACTATGCATATAATAAATCAAATAAATATTTATTCTTATAAGTATTTTAACTATATTTTAAAACTAAAATTCTAGAAAAATAATGAGTTTTGCTGTTTTAATTTTCATATTGGAAAAAATATAGTTTTTCACCAAAACAACTTTTGATCTAAATTTTTGATTAGGTAAATTTGTTATCTTGAATTTGAGTGTTATTTCTCCAATAATAACAAATTGGTATGTCAAGCATTTCATATTCATAATGTTAATTATAATATTATAAATAAAAATATTCAAGATATTCTACTAAAATAGATATGTATATTTTGAATGATATAAAAAGAGATAATGGTTTCTATATGGATAAACATAATGCTATATTTTAAACGTAAATAGGTAATTATTCATTATTACTTTCGAATAAGAATAATACATTTATGAAAACATTATTCTGACACCATCTATGTACACTTACATTCTGAACTTGATATTTGGCTACGCCCTTCTTGATCCTCATAAAACTGATTGTTGTGGTTATAGTTGTATATTAAATTATAACTATGAATATTAAATAATATAAATTATAGCTATAATTCTTTTTTTTCTTATTTGCCTTTACAGCTCTATAAGAGTTTTAGCTGCCACCGTCACTGATCTCCAATAATCATGATTCTGTATCCTTTCCTCCCAATCTGTTACTTCTAGCCTCTCTAGATCTTGCTGTACTCCATCCATCCATCGTTTCTTGGGTCTGCCTTTAGGTTCTTCTGTCTTCTGTCTTCTGCTCGTCTTCTTCTTATAGTTATAATTAATATATTTAATATTATTGTTATAGTTGTATACAATATAATTGTATGTGTTCAATAAAACTATTTTTTTTTTTTTAGTACATTATACACTCCAGTATATACAAGAATTTTATTGTCTTTATAAACACGAAGAATATAAAATAAATTATTTATTAATTAACTTATATATTTCTATATAAATAAACTATTTATTTTTTTATATATTAATTTATGAGTATAGACCATTTAATAATTTTTAATTTAATTTAATTTTTATTATGTTATTATAAATACTTTTATTGAGAAGTCTTAAAAGTATGAAGATTTTTATTATTTTGCTAAGCACTTACCAACAAATTTATATGATTCATTGTTAAAATTATTTTTTTAAGTCTCCCAAATTTATAAATATTGAATTTATTCAAAAATAAATCTAACAAAATAAATTGTGTAGTTCATAAAAGATTACTTCAAGAAATCATCCAGTTTGAAAATAGATGTTATTTAAAAATTTAATTTTATCCTAGATCCATTTTAAGTTAGCTATAATTACAACTTATAATTAGTAAAAATATTCAAATACAATAACGTTTAAAAACTTATAATAAATAATACACTCTAATTAATGAATCAGAAGTTTCCATAGTTAATTCTAAAACGTTTTAACAATTTCAAATACTTATCAAAGATTAACATTTAATTATGTATCACCACTTCATAATTCAAATATGATTAATCATATTATTATTAATAATGGTACTTTTATATTAAATGTTAACAACTTCAAATTTACATAAATTAGTTTATTTTTTCACTAAAATAATTGTTTACTTTAATCATATGTAGTAAAAATTATAATATTCATTATATATGTATATATTAAACTCGTAAAACCCACAACTAAAAAAATTTTATCAACAATAAATAAATCAGTGGTACTGGGAAACATAAAAAATGATGATGCCCATACAGACAATTGTATGGATTGGCTATTTCATCTTTCCCCTATTCTGAAAAAATATAATTATACAATTAGTTAAAATGGTTAATATTAATATAACAATACAAATATTATTAATTGAAGTGTACATAATAAAGTCATAATTAATGGACATTACTGTTAAAAACTGTTGTTTAATTTTTTAAGTTTTATTGTTTAGTTTATGTTTAAATATATATATATACAAATATTGTGTTATAGAAGAGTATATAAGTTAGTTTGCTACATTTTCAAATTATTTCATAACATTTCAGCGTTTATTGATATTTCATTTTATCACGTTGATCATAGAATGTAAATATATTTTTCTCTAATATTGAACTACAAGTAATTTACTAAATTTCTACTTATAATGTATATCCATATTACCATAGCTAACATATCTATAGGTATTGAATTGGTTTAGTCCAGAGGTTCCCAACCTTTTTTAACTCACGGCACCCTTTATAATTTTCTAAAAATTTGGATGTACCCTATAGCCTATGCCCTATACTCTATAGTTTATACTGAATACGCAATACTAATATATCGTATATTTAAATTTATATTTTGTAACCGGTTTTATTTAGCATCAATAAACAATATAGATAAGATAAAGTCACAAGTATTTTACTGTAAATAACTTTAAAACAGTTCACATTAAATCGAACCAGTATGAAAATTAAAATAGATTGAACATCTCAGATTACTATGTAAAAATTGTATGTGTTAATAATTAATTCATTAAATTATATTGTATATACCTAATTAATTATACACAATAGGTTTTATACTATAGACAAGGAGTATAGTCTGTTTTATTACAGTGCTGTATTTTTCATGAAAGCGTTTAAAAATAAATATATATTTCAAATATTTTTGCGGCACCCTAAATTTAATCTCGCGGTAACCTAGGTTGTCGCGTCACCCTGGTCGGGAACCTCTGGTTTAGTCAAACAATTAAATTGTACAAAATAAATTTTGTCAATTTTAATGACTTTTTGTATTTTTTACTTTCTTTACTACGCCCCGCGAGATTTTAAAGTTCTATTAATTGGTCCTCAACTTTGAGTTGTCCATCCCTGCTCTACAGTAATAAGTTTACTATAGCAATTAAAATTCAATTTTTAAATATTTTTTTCTATCTAACGGCATAATTTTCAAACAAGTTGAGAAACGGACAACTATAATCAGATACCAAGACCGTTTGCTAAACAGAAAAATCACTATGATTTGTCAACTCAGATCTGTGAAAATATTTTATTAAATATTAAGTTCACTTTATTTACTCATACATATTATACTCTTTTAGATAGTTAAGTTATTTTTAATGTTATTTGATATTTAAATTAAATGACGTTTTTTTTTCAGATGATGATCATAATGGGAGTTATTGGTCTCATAATTTTAGCTATTATAGTTGGTAAGTTCCAATAAAAAAAAACACTTTGATGGCTTAAGAACGTATAAGATACCGGAAAGTTATACAAATTTAACTATTCACAAAAATAATTGTTTAAAAATGAATACAATATACAATAGAATTTATTAAGCATTCCTTAAGTTTCAATTATATACAATATAAATTTCAGTTAGAAACACACAAAATTATAAAATATTGTTTTTAAAGCTTATTTTTTTATTCAAAATTCAAATTTAATTTATCCTTAATACTATAAACATAATTATGTATTATCTATATAAATATATTTATTTTTTGTTTTTAGTTCTTAATTAATTACCAATATATATAATATATATATATATATATTATATACATGATTGATGTGTTCAGCTTATAAATATTGTTGTTTAGCTGAATTTAGAACATTCGTTGTACTACATAAGGTCAAATATCAATAATATTTCCTAAATATTACTCGTTTATAATGTTTGAATAACACAGTATTATCCATTTTTAGAATAATTTATATAGGTAAAAACTTAATAAAATAAAACATAATTTTATTGTGCTATTATTAATTATGTGTCTTTTACTTAACAATGTATAATATTATACATATTATAAATCCTCTTAACAAACTCTTTTACATGTTAAATCACGGGAAGATGTTTAACAAAACAGTGATGTATTTTAAAAAATAAGTACATACATAAGACTTTATACATATACATATATATATATATATATATATATATATACACTCACATACACAATATACATATAAATATATTTACATAAAGGATAATCATGCTTTGTTTTTACGCTTTATGTTTTTGTGTGCTGTTTATTTGTTTTTTCATTCCGATAACGTTATGTGTTTTTATACATTTGGTTTCGACAATGGTTAATACTTAAACACTTGAACATAATTTTTGTTGAAACAATATAACTCGAACACGCTATTCTCTTCGGTATGTAATCTATTTTTAGGTAATTTATTTTAAATTATTTTAATATTAAATTTCTTCCATGTTTTGCACTAGTATTTGTTATGTCACGAATTAAATTTTTTTCTTAATAACACTTAATAATAATTAGAAAATTTTATTAGGTATGTAATAGTTTACCCTTTAAATTTAGCTCACTCAATATTTAGTAGTTAGACTGATCACAGTGAGTAATTTATTGCGTCGACATCAGAAACTAAATCAATTCGAAAAATAATAGGTAATAGATTAATTAATTCCTAAAACCCAAATTCAGCCTCACATTATTTTATTTAACCATATTTATATTATATAAATATATAAATGTAGTTTTATTTTTATTTTTATTTTAAGTCTTTTCTTACTAATCTAAATTTGCATGGCTTATTTTGTATGTATAATCACCATATAGTGCAACTCTAATCATAATATTTTAATAATCACTTGATCAATAACTACAATTTACATTTACTAAAATGACAATGAGTTATGGAAATAAGTAATAACTAAGATTATCATTTATGAAAACGGTGTTGGAATGAAATTGTGTTATACTTGACGTAAAAATAAAAGAATTTAAAAAATGTAAATTACTTTTTTTTTATCATTATTAGAAAAATACTAATATATATAAATGCTACATAAAAGGGGTGGCCAAACTTTTTTTGGTCATGATCTACTAAAAATATACTTCACCTTTAAGGATTGACTTTCATAGAAAAAAATTTTTACTATTGAATAAGTTTAATTATTGGAAAAAACATACTTGCATAAAGTATGTATAAACATACAATAAGTATTATAAACTAATACGAGTAACTAACTACTAAAAATAATATAATAATAATAAATAATAATTTATAAAATCTAATTACTAAAGTTTAATTTTAACATCATTTTTAAGCATCTGCGCCTTCTAAAAAACCTTGTTTTACTATTTCACCGGTTTTAAATGATTTTTCTATTATTAGCTGAAACATAACTAATTTAAAATTAAACAATTGTTTCTGCTTCGGGTTTTAAAACTAGTTTAGTAAAAATCAATTGTTATTTACAAATTTCAAGTTTCAATTTTTCTAATTGTTTTTTACGGGTTTCAGTTTTAGGAAGGAAATCTATTTCGAATTTTGAATGCGTGGTTCTCAAATGACTTCTTGATTACTTTTTTGTTGTTGTGGATATTGTTATTCGACATATCAAACATATGCATTTGTTTTTCAGTATTGTAAAAAAAAATCTATTTCCCATTCTTGATGAAAATTAAACGTTTTTTATTGTTTATGTGCGCTCATACTTATAAATTTTAAAAAACTTAAGTACGTTATTATAAATGTAATACAACAGACATCGAATGGACATAGTGAAATGAACATGCGTGAACCATATAAATTTGACATACAAACCAGAATAAAAGAAAAAAAAGAAAAATTACACAGATAAAATTTATCGAAAATTTGTTCACTACAACCTCAATTAATTTTTATGCACGTATCCCTAAAATTAAATTCTAACATGATCGACTTTAAAATTGTCCGCGATCAACCGATTGGCCGCCCCTGTTATATACTATATCTGTATACGTAATACTAGTATAATATGCGTATATGATTGTAGAGAAAAAAGAATAATAAAGTGACGATGATTTATGTGGGCGGAAAAGCTGTCCATTAACGGAACTCCGTGAACATGAAAAGAGAAAATGGCAAGATTTTTATGGATATAAATAAATTATATTAAGAACTCTCTGCACCATTTTTTTTAGCGAGTGGGTTTTTTGGGAGACGGTAAAAAGCTCAATTTGCAATAAGAGGATTAAAATGTTCTTGAAGAGTTTTGCGGAACCTTTTGTAGTGGAGTTTGGCTGTTTCGTTTAATGTAAACTACCAGTGTCTTTATGCAGTGTGTCGATAAATACACAGAGGTGCTGAAAGGATAAAAGGATAGTGCGAAGGGCTCGTGATTTGAATACTAGGATTTTATTGGTATTGTAAATTTTTGTTGAACCCCAAAGTTCAATTTCGTATTAACATATTGGTTTGAGTAAAACTTTATACACGTCAAATTTGGTTTTCGTGTTCATTCTTGAAGATATATATAAGTAGCAAGGGACGAAGGAACCTTTGGTTAAATATTATTATTTTTATGTGTAATTGAGATGTTCATGGAAGAGGTTTTTCTATAATTAGGCCAAGGTATTTTACTTTGGCTTCGGTTGGAAATTGAAATCATTATTAAATCTGTGGGTGGGTTTTTTTTCCATAGTGTGAATGTTACACGGAATTACTCGTTTATTTTTACATGCTATTTCTTATACTATTTTGACATTTCGTCGTGAAGTATTGTACATTTTCAGAGACGACGTTGTAATTTTTATGTGTTGATATGATTGCTTTGTCATCCGCATAGTTGGCTATTTTAGTGTTGGGAGTGGTTGGTGTTGGTCCGACGTAAATATATTGATGAGGAGTGGGGTAAGAGATAAATCCTTGGGGAATATCAGCTTGTATCTTGCAGATTTTGGAAATTTTAGTGTCTATTCTGGTAGCGAAATGATGGTAATCCAGGATTTAAAAAGTAGAAAATAGGAAAGAGAGAAGATATAACGAAGTTTGAGAAGGAGGCCGAACAGCCGAACACTTGAACAGTATTGTGTTTTTTTATTTTTTAAAAATTAGATGTTAATTTTAATATTATGAGATCTTACAATAATTTAAAAGGGTTACAAACTATATATTAAGAATCAAGTTTTAAAGTAGTTAATTTAATTAATATTTATAACAAGTAGATTAATTATTTGAATTCCTAAAATTTTTAATTGATTTTTACCATTATGATATTTATTCAAACAAAACATTATTCCAAAAAATTATATTATTCTAACCTTTCTGCACTGACTTAATTCAGCATTTATTTTGATAATTTTAAATTAAATTAATACATTTTCATAATAATTCACGATTATTTTTTTTAAATATAAATAGGTATAATATTCCAATATATTTCTTGGTTTTTAATGTAGAGTTGTATAACTGTGATTTCATCCATTTCTTTTGATTATAATGGCATTATAATTTAAAAATACTAAGTTAATAAATAATAATTTTTAAATTATTGAACTCAAAAAAGCAACACATTTAGTATCATTTTAATAAAAATAAATAAAACAAAAATAGTCCTATCAATATCGTAGAATATTATATAAATTATAAAATGTCGCTCATATTTATAAGTTAAATAAAATATTGTATCCTTTAGTACTGTTTAAAATTGAAATTGAGTAAATTTTAGTTTTTTGTGCTCACATGATTATGTACATTATGTTGCATTAAATACTTAGTTCAAACAGAATTTACTCTTTTTATTAAATAGATTTATTACACATAAATCATTAAACACAAATACTTAATCACAGCAAACATGTACATTTTTTTATTATGTTTTAGTATCCAAAAAATACATATTATGTAGTGAGTATTACGAGTATTACAAAGATTTTAGTGAATCAACAAATCTATAAAAGTAACTTAAATATAAAATCTTCATGGTGCACTCAGTACTCCTTAATATTTAGGTACACAAAATAACACTCTACAACATAATCAAATTATTAACTTTAAAAAACTATAGATAGATTTTTTTAATATAGCTTTTTGACCAATAGCTATTAATTATACTTCCAAACATTGATACAGTTATTCAACTACTTGTTGCTGGTAGATAACATGTACTTTTAGAGCAATTTTATTTAAATCATTGTTCAATAGATTGCATTATTCTTTAAATAATTTACTTAGTTATTAAATATATGTCTTAATTTTTTTTTTACAGCTTGGTTTTCGGACGATTAAAACATAACAAACTTCGATTGCAAGCCACCACACATTTAAGAACTAACAACTGTCATTACGTGACTATAATGGCAAAGAAACTTAAGGTGCATTAAAACTAAAAAAAAAAATAAATAAAAATATTATACATATATATTAATATATGTATTTGTTAAAAATTCATAAATAATGCTTTGAAAAAATGCCCCTACCCAAAACAAAAGTACCATAATGCTCGTTTGAAATTGTTTTTGTTATAGATACATTAATATACCAATATATGTATAAATATATAATATATATACGCAAATACAAACAGATATATACATTAATATAAAAAATATGTATATACATACTTATATATTTATATAATGAGTGTGTGTGTGAGTGTACTTTCTCAAATACATGAACGTGTTTAAATATAATACTTGTATTAAACAAGAAATACAATATATATGATATGATAAAATATCCTTTTGTAAATATCACTTTAAACTATTTTATACAATGTACATGTTTATCATCACATATTATAGAACTATGATTTCATATACCATCACTATATTTTATTGAATAATACAAATTGGGTAGAAAATTCTCAACATTTTACTTAAGCTAAAAATTACAGTAATGTAATTATATTACTATTATTATTATTATTATTATTATTATTATTATTATTATTATTATTATTAT